ACAGCTGGAGTCGGATTTCCCGGGACATTCTCATAGACATCGCAGGAGGACAAGGGTTTGAAGTAGGGTGACTTCAATCTGGCGGTATATTTTTAAATATTTTTAAAAAATTATAATTTTTATTGAGATTTCCGACCCCCCCTAATTAATTAAACTTCTATATAATAAAATCTATTAATTAAAAAAATTAAAAAACTATCGGAAGTCGTTTTTGACATCAGAAAGCAGCTTTAAATAACTTTACCGAAGGAAAATCGGTGCGCTACAACTTTAGAATGATAAATTAATTTTGATAAAAAACTCCCATTAAAAAAACATTAAGCCTTAATCGAGCCTTATCAAAGGCTCATTAAAATCGCGATAAAATTTTTTCGCGTGCGCAAAAAATTCTGAAAAAATTTGGGGACCTAAAAAACATTCCAAAAATTCAAAAAAAATAATTTTTTCAAAAGTGGCCTTAACGACGTAACGCTATAAAACTTGCTCGAGCCACACTCGAGCGCGGCTCAGAAGGGGTTAAGCACCAACAGACTATCTGAAAAAATGGCAATCGGCCCTTTAATCTGCTGGAGAACCCAAAACGCTCTCAGTAACTTTTGCACCTCCGCCCCGAACACGCTACATGACTCATGGAGAGACCAGACTTCCGAGGTATGCCGCTTCAGGACCACCACCCCTATGGTCGTTCTTCCCCTGGTTTTTGAGGCATCCACCCCCATTTGTTTCCACTCGGGCCACTTCGTGGACGCTGTCCACTGGAAATGTGCCCTATATGCCTCTGGGGGAAGCCCTGACATGTGGTCATAATCATGAATACTCAAATGCTTCCAGATGCTCTCCAGGTCGGGCGGCGCCAACTGTTGCCGGTATATCTGATTCAGCGGAATGTTTGCCCAGCGGGCCTCCGCATACAGCCAAGAGATGTACGGTGCGTGGTGTTATCTCCATCTGTAGTACGATAGACCAACCTCCGACGTAAAAATGCAATATAAAGGACTGAATCTCCCTCTAGATATATGCACCATCCCGTGATTTATTGCCCTCGGCCGGAACTGGACCCGCAGAGGAATGTAGCCTGTTTCTGGGAGGGGTCCCTAAGACTACCCCTTAGAGGGGTAGTCTTAGGGACTTCCAAGGCAGTTCTCAATGCCTCCATAAAAGGCGTCTCGATCCATTTTAATGTTAATGGCGGTGCCCCTGCCAACACCAAGGCCCCAAACTCGGCCATTGGACTAAGCACCGCCTTAATAAGTCGCAGAAAACACTCTCGTTGGTCACCATTCTGGCTGGAGGTGAAATACTTAAGAAACGCTCCTGCCTTCGTAAGTTTGGAGCACAGATAGTTTGTGTGCACCTTCCATGTAAACAATCGGTGGAAGTGAATCCCCAGTATCTGCACCTCCGTCCATTGGGGTATGACCCCTGAGCTTAGAGCAAGTGTAATGCCTGGCCTCCTCTTCAGGGATAAATCCACTACTGCACTTTTCGTTGCCGAGAACGACAAGCTCCACGTGGCCACCTAGTGGTCTAGGGAGTCTAATGCCGTCTGCGCATACCTTGCTGTGCACACCTAATTGGTGCTGGACGCTATTATGAACAGATCATCTGCATACACCACCGTCGTTACCGATGTCGGGAGTGCCGTCCACAAGTCGGCCCTATAACACACGAACAAAAGAGGTGCAAGGACGCTCCCCTGCGGAACACCCTGAACAAAGTCGTGACGCCCCGTAAAACCCCCCTCCAGTGCACCCTGAATGACAGCTGCAAAAGAAGTGAGGCCAGCCACCTCAAGGTTTGGCCACAGAGCCCCAGTGCTTCCAGTTTTGCCAGAAGCCCATTCTGGCATACAGAATCGTACGCCCCCTCCAAGTCCAGTGCAATAACGTATGTCCACTTATGCTGGGTGCGGGCTACTGCAATAGTATGATGCAGTACAACTAGTGCTTCCTCTACTCCCCGATACAAGAGAAACCCAAAGTGGTGGTCGCTGAACAGATTCTCTCTCACCAGTTGTTGCTGGATGCAATTGAGGATCATACGCTCAAATGTTTTAGCTATCTGTGAGGTGAGGGAGATGGGCCGGTATGAATGCACCGTTGTTGACTGACGTCCTGGTTTGGCTATCGGCACAATCGTGGCATTTTTCCAGTTGGGAGGACACACCCGTCTTCCAAATCTCATTAAAACAGTCTAAAAGAGCCTGTATCCCCTCTGAGAGTAGATGTTTAAAATCCCTGAACCTTTTAAAGGTATTATGCTGCTTATCCTGGGGAGCAGATAAACTTTTGATGCTCAGGATTTATAGGGCCCTTGTTTGCTCAAAGCTGGATTACAGTTGCATTGTTTATGGCTCTGCGTGGGAATCTACTCTTCGGATGCAGGATCCAATCCATCATCAAGCATTGCGTTTGTGCACTGGTGCATTTTGAACTTCTCCTGTGCAAAGCCTGTACGTGGATGCTTATGAGCCTCCACTATCCCTCAGGAGGAAACAGTTGTCTCTGTTTTATTAAATTAAGAAGAAATCTCAGTAGTAATTCAAACACAAATAATTATCGTATTTATCTTCAGGCACTTGGCAATACTCATCATCAAGTTTTATTCAGTTGATACGTGTTGTTATTACACACGTTTCGGGCATTTATTGCCCCTCTTCAGCCAACTAAAAACAAAAGTTCAACACTATAAAATTACAACAAACATATTAGGTATTGTTTTTCTAAAAGCATACCTTTTTAATTACAGGTTATCAAGATATTAAAAACCACAGGTTTCATCGCTTATGTTTACTGGTTGTTACAAAAATTTCTTGGCGCTTAACACACTTTAATCTAAGAAAACATACGGTTTATGTTATCTAAAATATTTTAAAACCTTATTTTTTATGTGGATTTTACATGACAAATTTACAATGAAGTACGTACCTAATTATTTGTTTTTCGCTGTTATAAAATCTAAACACTTTAAAAATTTTTTTTTTTTATACATTTACAACAATATATTACAACAAAGTTGACATATTTGTCTTTCAAAATCATGCAATTTTCTCTTTTTGCAAACGATTGGGATGACCTTTCCTCCCCCTCTTGTTTCCCCCAGTTAAGCTTACCACTGGTTACTATGGTCATATGACTAGCAGGCCACCTTGTGGCAGTATTACTTTTTACATGAAATATTTTTTATCCTAAAATGTCTTTTTTATACAAATTATTTCTTTTCAAGAAAATACCTCATTCTAAAAATCCTGTTTACATAAATATTTCAAAAAATTACCTTTTACATAAATTATCGTTTCTGCAGATTATAAGATATTTAGCCAGTTTTCATTAATTTTAATACTTAGATTTTTATTTATGCATTTTTTGCTTTTGAGAATTTCTACACTTTCTTTAAACTTTCTACTATATGTTTCTTTTTCTTTGTGGAGTATTTGTATATTATCTTTATCTATTGTACAATCATTCATGGTGCAATGATCATGGAAGGCGGAATTTAGTCTATTGTATTTCAGATCCGCTATATGTTCTTTTAATCTAGTTTTTAGCTTCCTTTTTGTTTCTCCTATGTAATATTTATTATTGCTACAAGTACAATGAATTTTATACACAACGTTCTTAGTTTCTGTTGGTGGTTGTTGTTTTTTCTCATTTTCGAATTGTTTTAATTTTGTATACATTTTTTGGTATGACGGTGCTAACTTAAAGTGCATATTGCTTATTTCATTATCAATTTGTTCGTGTAATCCTTTAATATATGGAAATCCAATATANACTTTAAGTTAGCACCGTCATACCAAAAAATGTATACAAAATTAAAACAATTCGAAAATGAGAAAAAACAACAACCACCAACAGAAACTAAGAACGTTGTGTATAAAATTCATTGTACTTGTAGCAATAATAAATATTACATAGGAGAAACAAAAAGGAAGCTAAAAACTAGATTAAAAGAACATATAGCGGATCTGAAATACAATAGACTAAATTCCGCCTTCCATGATCATTGCACCATGAATGATTGTACAATAGATAAAGATAATATACAAATACTCCACAAAGAAAAAGAAACATATAGTAGAAAGTTTAAAGAAAGTGTAGAAATTCTCAAAAGCAAAAAATGCATAAATAAAAATCTAAGTATTAAAATTAATGAAAACTGGCTAAATATCTTATAATCTGCAGAAACGATAATTTATGTAAAAGGTAATTTTTTGAAATATTTATGTAAACAGGATTTTTAGAATGAGGTATTTTCTTGAAAAGAAATAATTTGTATAAAAAAGACATTTTAGGATAAAAAATATTTCATGTAAAAAGTAATACTGCCACAAGGTGGCCTGCTAGTCATATGACCATAGTAACCAGTGGTAAGCTTAACTGGGGGAAACAAGAGGGGGAGGAAAGGTCATCCCAATCGTTTGCAAAAAGAGAAAATTGCATGATTTTGAAAGACAAATATGTCAACTTTGTTGTAATATATTGTTGTAAATGTATAAAAAAAAAAAATTTTTAAAGTGTTTAGATTTTATAACAGCGAAAAACAAATAATTAGGTACGTACTTCATTGTAAATTTGTCATGTAAAATCCACATAAAAAATAAGGTTTTAAAATATTTTAGATAACATAAACCGTATGTTTTCTTAGATTAAAGTGTGTTAAGCGCCAAGAAATTTTTGTAACAACCAGTAAACATAAGCGATGAAACCTGTGGTTTTTAATATCTTGATAACCTGTAATTAAAAAGGTATGCTTTTAGAAAAACAATACCTAATATGTTTGTTGTAATTTTATAGTGTTGAACTTTTGTTTTTAGTTGGCTGAAGAGGGGCAATAAATGCCCGAAACGTGTGTAATAACAACACGTATCAACTGAATAAAACTTGATGATGAGTATTGCCAAGTGCCTGAAGATAAATACGATAATTATTTGTGTTTGAATTTGACTGAATAAAACTTGATGATGAGTATTGCCAAGTGCCTGAAGATAAATACGATAATTATTTGTGTTTGAATTACTACTAATAACTACAAGCACAGTTTCAAAAAGTACCAGAATAAGAAATCTCAGATTAAATCTTCAGTTGATTATACAGTATCGGATACTCAGCTGATAAGATTATTTGCAGCTCGCCCAAGTTGTGTCCCTACATTCGACATTAGAATGGATAATGTAAGCAGCACGATTGACCTGGACACAAGCAACATTTCAAAGGCCATTGTTGATAGTATATCACCTTGGTCAACTCCTGTGATAAATGTTGACCTTAGCTTAAAGCAATTTCCTAAGGAATCCACCCCAGACTACATGTATAGACAGCACTTTGCAGAAATTCAACATTGTAACAGGAATTTAATTCCTATATACACTGATGGATCTAAATCAGATGATTACGTTGGCTCAGCCTTTGTCTGCCAGGATGAAATCGTGGCAGAAGAAATTGCACCGAATTCTTTCATCTTTACTGCAGAGCTGCAGGCTATTTATTTAGTCTTAAAGTATGTAATTAGAAACAGTCATTGTTGCTGCGTGATTTACACTGACTCAGTTAGTGCACTTCAGGCTTTGATCTCATCTGAACCTAGTTCTCACTCTGTAGTGATTAAAATCCATAAACTGCTGTGCCATCTTTGTGTGAGTAATTTCTCTGTAAAATTTTGTTGGGTCCCAGGCCATGTTGGTATAAGAGGGAATGAACAAGCTGACACAGCTGCAAAGGCAGCTAATCTTTCACAGCATACAATGTGTATTGAAGGAGGTGATTTGAAGCTAGTTGTTTAACCCTTCGGGGAACGCGCCTTTCAAGAGCTTACGAGAGGGCGCCTCGCGGCAATTACACCGCGTATGTAATATTACTTGATTTAAGTCAATAATTAATTATCGTTTTGAAAATATGATTCAGATATACCAGAAAACTATTTTTACGGCATTTTAATAAACAAATTGGTTATAAAATATTTAGATAATAAAAAGAAGTCACTCTACTTTCATGTGATGTTCACCTTCACACATGGCACATATAATAACTATATTACTATGCTTTTTGCAAACATGTTTTCTGCATTCCTGACAAATCGATTTTGTCCTATTGTTTTTGTGTTTGTCACAAATAAAACAAATTCTTGGTTTCGCTACTTCTTTAGGCTGCTTTTCGTTTTCTCTATATTTTTCTAAAAATGCGCGAATGTCTTTAGGAAGTCTCAGCATCATCGATCTTTCTTTCAAATGTTCTTCCATTAGACTTAGGGTAAGTTTTTTTCTAAAATATTGTCTTCTCTTTTTGTTATCGGGATTATTAAATTTAGATATAATATTAGAATTTATTTCAGCAATGTCGAGATGACGATAAAAGAGAGCTAGTGGCCATCTCCTTGTAATTCGGGATGTGGTGTAAAATGAACACATCTGACCTACAGTGTCTACACCATTTTTAGTTGCATTGTAGTCCAAAGTTATCATAGCTTTGTTAGTTTCCTGATCAACTTCAGGAGTGTCATGCATAGTCGAAAGAAAGATTACAGCTTTATTTTTCTTCGGAACTATTGAAGCAATACAATATTCATACGGAAAACCAAATAGACATGAATTTATTTGTCAGGTTTTGTATATTTATTCAATAAACTAGCAAATATCGACCTACTTTATTAAAAACATTGAAAAAATAAATATAAAAGTAAACTCATATTTTACTTACATAACAGGGCGCGTAGCGGCAGTTACGATGCAAATTAGGTACGACTTGATTCAAGGTCCAGTAACAGCTAAACTGACTTGATTTCACAGACAAGTTGTAACTTGTAATATGAAGGGAGAATACTATGACGTATTTCCACAATAATTAAGTACAACGTCAAACAAAAGACTTTATTATTATTTTGCGGCAATTTGCCGCGGGCGCGCCCACCAAAGGGTTAAAAAATGACTAGCAGAGAGATGGCAAAACATATGGAATGCACAAATCCACAATAAACTACACAAGATCAAACCTATGATAGAAAATTGGACACATAATAAACAGTATGATAGGAGATCTGATGTTATCCTTACTCGTTTGAGAATTGGACATACTCAACTGACTCATCAATACTTTCTGAAGGGTGATGACCAGCCAGTATGTAAGTATTGCAACTGCTTTCTAAGTGTAAAGCACATACTCTGCGATTGCTCTACCTTTGAGATGAGGCGTAGACAGTATTTTGGAAATTCAAGTCTGACAGTGTTGTTGGGCCAAAGGCCAAATCTTGAAAACTTACTGGACTTTCTAAGTCATTAATATGTACAAAGAGATTTAACTATACAATCTCTCTACACACCAGTAAATATAAATAAAATACTCCTCAAACCTTTTAACCAGAGTGCTTCTATTTTTAGAATTGCAAATGTTTTCGTCGCCCCTCCTGGGCTCTTCTTCAGGCTTTAACGAATAGGTCGTTACTGTTCAAATAAACATTCGATATGAATTTCTTCCGAGCACTATCATGTGAAATCGTTCCATAGTTGTATTGTGCATGCTCCATAATCATCTCTGTAAACACTGTTAACCAGCAAAATCAGCCATGCTACAGATAGTCATTTCCTCCTTATAATTTATACACGTATCATTTCTTTCCGCCTTAAATATCTCCATGGCTTCTAGCCATTTTAGTTGTTGCGGGTTGAAGTTGGTTATAATGATTTTTGCCGTGCAGGTCTGCCGTTATTTCCTGTTCTGAAGCATATGTTGCTAGGGCTGTTGTGTTTCTACCATGCTGTATGTCTGACTCGTGTTCTTTTAATCTCACTTTTAACGAACATTTCGTGGAACCAATGTATGTCAGTTGTCTATTGCACCTGTTGTCTTCTAGTGGTACTGCGTATACTCCTGGAAGCCTTTCAGGGTTTGGTAGGTCTTTGCCATTAGTTAGTATCCTGAAGACAGTTTGACATCTTCTGTTTGCAATATTTATGCCTCTTCGTTTGGCTATCATGTTGTAGATAATAGTGATTACTTTGTAATGTTGACTTGAAAAATTATTAGTCTATAGCCTACTATAATTTTTATAATTTCAAATTTTAAATCAAATTTTTAAATAAATTATGTTAAATTAAAAAATCTTTATTATATCAAATTAAATATTTATTGTATTAAATAAACATGTTTAATTAATATATATTTTAAATTTTAGTTCATGAAGATCTCAAAGAATTACATGTCAAATTACTCAGGAAGGCAAGAAAATGGTTCAGTAAAGATAAATGGGAAAAAGCACTTATTAAAGTAAGATTAATTTAAATATTCTTTATTTAAATAAACTCAAATTTATTAAGCCATATCATTTTATTTAAATTTTATGTTTGATAAATTCATCAGTTTTCTTGTTTAATTTCATAAACATTGTATTTTATAGTCTGAAACTTTCAAATAGTCAAATATCTTTATAAATTATTAAATATAATAAAATATTATAACATGAAATAAATACATAATTAAACAAAAATTCTAGAACTTGTGCTTTGTTTTAATTGTAGAATTGATGTAGATCCAGATAAATTGTTAGTTTTCAAATATTTTTAAACCAAAATACAGTGTTTCAAAATATTAGGCCTGATTATATTCAGGTCATAATTGAGCTCAATTACAGCCTGAATATAATCCAGCTTATAGATGTTGGTAAAATTTATTATAGCCAAACTCAGAACTTAAATGAAGGTAGTAATCAGGCTAGTACAGGCATGGACAACATACAGCCTGTCTAATGAATTTATGTGGCCCACGATTAATCTTTCAATATTAGCTCAAGTCCGAATATCTCAACGAAAAATTCTGACGGCTAAAAAAAAAAAAGGTCAACAAGTAACTGTGCGATTAGAGTTAACGCTCCATTAGAAATGTCTTCAGCACAGCATAGAATGTTGATAATGTGAAAAACGTATCTGTAATTTTTATGTACAATTTGTTTTTTGACAATTTGTACAATTACCCTGTGATTTGTTGAGCTTCATGTCATGAACTTTCACAGCAGAGCAGCCACCCATAAATCTTTTATTATAATGGCATTGAGACCATCATTTGTAGACTTTGAAACAATGGAAATCAGTTTGATGGTATGATAAGTTGTCCTATGTACTGTTTTAGTCTAATTGACTTGTTTGGTTCAGGAGGATGCCTGAGAAATGCTTCCTAGAAGACTGTTGTTCCAGTGGTGAAGTTTTGAACTAGCAATGTCATGATGGGACTGGTTTTCTTGGCATGATCTAGATTAGTGATGGCAAACCCGGTTTCATGGTACCTACATTGAATGTTTAGAAAGTATTAGTTTTTATAAATTGCAAAAAATATTTGGTAGATTTCAAAACTTTGCATATATAATATGAAAGCAAGATCCTGAAGCTGTTGTGAAAAGTCTTTAAGCATGGGTTTTTAACTTTCCTTTCATCCCCATATAGAAAGTATTCATATTCATTTCAATTGACCCCTTCACAATTTTTATATTATTTCTAAAGATTTTGCATAATACATCAAGTAAATTATTAGACCAGTTAATGAATTTCCCACATGATTGCTATAATTATTTGAAAATTATCTGAAATTCTCAAAAAACAAAACACAATAAATATCTGATTTTTCCATTGATCTTCAATTGATCCATTGAGTTCTATCACATTCTTTCAAAATTCTATTGACCCGTGGGGTTTATATCAAGCCTATTGGGAATTCCTGTCTTAAAAGCCACTAATTGTGAACATTAGATAGAAAAGTTATCATTGAATAATAAACAGCAGCAGATTTCCCATTAAATGAAATATTTGTATGTTGTAGTCATATTATTATTATTTTTTTACCACATGGAGTTTATTGTTATTTTACTGATATAGATTAGAAAGTTTAAATAAAATTTGTAAGCATTTACAAACATCTCCAAACCCAATATATTAGTAATATGCCAAGTGACTACAGGATTAAATTGGGCTATTTCACATTTATTTTTAATTAATTTCTAAATAATTAANTGCATCCGCATAGTAAATGAGAGTTGCAGGTTTGTACCCTGTTTCAGGCCAATTCTTTTCATCCAGAAACTTCTAAATTAATTTAATCATAGTTATTAAATTTAGCAAAGGATGGTGCCTAATGTCTGCCTCTAGTGCCAAATTATTCAGCATTTAATTAATAATAATAATAGTATAGCCTGACTATTTAGGCAATCGTTTAGACCCTGTTTCAGGCCAATTCTTTTCATCCAGAAACTTCTAAATTAATTTAATCATAGTTATTAAATTTAGCAAGAGATGGTGCCTAATGTCTGCCTCTAGTGACAAATTATTTAAAAATTAATTAAAAATAAATGCAGAGGAGTAGCCTGATTTAATCCTGTAGTTGTTTGGAATATGTAGGCATTATTTTTTGTTTTGTTATTTTATAATAGGTCAAATTAAATATTTGACCTGCAATTTGGAGTTAATAAATTTTGAATTCAGTTTTGGCCTAGCTTTGAAAAAAAACGTTTGCTAGTACTGATCTAGATTCTTGGCTGTCATCTGTGGAACTATAAATGCAAAGTTCTAAATTGATATCCTGGATAGCTGCATAACTCTTACATTGTGACAGTTTTACTGATACATTCTTCTAGTACAATAATGCACTAAAAATGTCAAAAATTAGTGATTGTAAAATTCATGATTTAACTCTTTAAACACAAAGTTGGCCTTTTCTGTTCAAAATGAAATTGACCAATGGAAAAGTTATTTGACTGATTCCGCTATACAAGTTCTCTTTGTAGCCTGAACGGTAAAAATAATTTAGTCTTCAGGTACATAGAAAGAAGAAAATTTTTCACAGCTTAGAATTAAGAATGATGATGTAGATGTTGCAGAGACCAGTATAGCCTGAACCTAAATTTCGTTGAGAACATGTGATGAGTCATAGAGTGTCCATTAGGGTCATAGTCATGATAAGAACTAACTACTGCTATGAAAGAGAAATAGAATAATATACTGTCAGCTATTTATGAAATTAGTTTAATCCATAATGCATCTCTATAGTTAAGATCAGAAGTGGCTACCCCAATGTTAATTTTATCTGTATAATCTGATGTCTGAATGTCATGTTTACATGTTAAGATTTTTTAATATGGTTTTATAATCAAATTTTTCTAATACAGTTTCATTATATAGTAATTTTCCATTTATAAAATTATAAATTAAATTCTTGATTATAACAGTTTTATAAAATAATTAATTTTCTTTAAAAAACAATCTTGGCTGGTAGATCCAGGAGTCAACCAGCCAACATAGCATGTCTCAAATTGTTTTTTGAAGTAGAGAGAGACAGATCTGCTTGACTCCTTTGGTAAACAAATGTTCCCATTCAACTTATTTTTTAGAAAAGGCTTTTACTAAGAAAATTACTGTGCTAGTTCCTAGCTCCCATCTTCTTGTTTCTTTAAAAATATATTACATTTTATGAACACCAGTCAAAGAACAGTTACTTAATTATCCCTCTCCTGATTTTGATGGTTTTTGTATACAGGGTGATTCACTGGTAGCATTTAGTAATTTTTTCTCAGAAATAGATATAGGAAGAGGGGACTAATAACCAAGTTTGTAGAGCAGACAGGTGAAAACTTTTGGTGACTTTGGATAACCTTAACAAATAAACAGTTTTTTGAGATTTTTAACAAAATAAAGATTTTTAAAATTATACAGGGTGCTTTTGAGCCATTAAATGGATAGTATGTGACAAAATAAATACCTTTTATAATAGGTCATATTTTCTTAAATCTAAGTTTTCAAGATATCAACCAGTTTCAGGATAAACAGAAATCAGATTTTTAGAAGAAAGTTTCTATACTGGGAACTAAGTTTATCAGTTTTTGTTCTTTATCTTATCATATCTGATGGTTGAGCAAGCAGGCTTTGAATAAATTGAATTGTTAGTGTTTCAAAGGCACGAAGAAGTCTTTTTATTTTGGAATGACCTTTTCATTTTTATGTATTTACTTGTTTCCTCTGATTTCATGAAAATGAGTTATTCAAATGAAGAAGCATTTGATATGCTGATAACTTTAGGCATGTCATGAAAATTATTCACAGGCTGCAAATCTTTATGCCAGTCTACATGGAGATGAATTAAGGAAATAGTTTACTTTTAGTGTCTTTCTACAAAAAACATTAAAATCAGAATTTGGAAAAGTTTTGTAAGATTAATAGATGTAAATTATGAAATGTATTAAATGCCTTTTCTAGAAGAATAAATGCCTGTATGGGCCAAGAATGCAGAGATATTCAGCATCTAATTTAAATAAATTTTGAAATGCATTTCATTACTATCATGTTGTTTCTGTCGTGTAAAGCTTTAAACTGATAAACTTAGTTTATCAGTTTATTTATGGAAACCAGCATGGAAACTTTTGGGATAAAAAGAAATCAGATTTTTAGAAGAAACTGGCCAAAAACTGTCTTGAAAATCATTGTTTAAGAAAATGTGACCTATTATAAAAGTGTTTATTTTGTCAAGTACTATTCATATAATGGCTCAAAAAGGCCCCTTATCATTTAAAAAATCTATATTTTATTCTGTATCTCAAAAAATTGTCGGGTTTTTAGTCATTCAAGGCAACCAAAAATTTTCTTCCAGTCTGCTCTATAAACTTGGTTATCTGTCCCATCTTCCTATCTGTAATGGTTTCTGGAGGAAAAAAAATTACTGCATGCCCCCAATGAATCACTATATGTATTATAGAGATTCAAAAACTAAGTCATGTAAGTTTTCATATTAGCAGGAAAAAACATCTTTAGGAATATAATTAACCCTTAGCATTACCCATGCCAAGCAATAATTGTACAGTTTTACATATATAACAAAAAGTCCAAATTAAACTACAAGTAAGATTATATTGGTTTCTTCAAGTAAATATAGAGAGAAATTTGATCTGAAGGTAACCAGTTAGTTCAAAAGGCCTTATTAATATTGCCATATATACTCCAGGAAAGCAATATATGTAATTTTACAGTTTCGTTTAAAAAACATAGGGTTTTAACCTATCCCATGTTAAAATTTTTCTCTGTTGTGTGTCATGCCATGTTGAATTTTTGTCAATGTTAAGCTTAATGAAAATTACACATTTTTTAAAAAAATAATTGTAGCTATTGTATCATCTGAAATTATTTTTATTTTGCACAAACAAAATAGATATATTAATAAATGTAAAAACAAAAAAATTATATTTCAGAAGTTACTTTTAATATAAAAATTATAATGACTAGTGACATGTAGTT